AATGCCGGGTGCCTTACCAGCAGGAGCGATGGCGATGCCTGGAATGGGTGTGATGCTGCAGGGACATCCCAATATGCTGCAAATGATGCAGCCGCGCTTTAGATGATGTCTGCCCGCAGCGCCGGGTCTGTTGCAGGCGCCAGCAGCCCAGCCGCCAACGCACCTGCAACCGCAGCCGCAGCCGCATCCGCATCCTCAGCACGTACAGCCAGCCCGGTCCTTCTCCCGGACCACGGCCGCTCTGCAGGCTCAGGCACCACTGTTGAGCCTGCCGCTGCCACTGCTTTTCCATGAGTGAGGCACGGATCATGCTTATGATTGCAAACAGCAAACAGCGCGCACTCAGCAAGCAAGTTGTTCTTTAAAACCCAACCAAAGTCAGTTTTTTTCAATGTATAACAGTTTTTGAGACACGGTACCCTAAACACACACATACACACTTCTTGGCCACACGCTACCCACTAATCAGCGGCTATGCCCAGTAAACCAATCGATGTCATATATATATATATATATATTTCGTTCATCTAAAGCACTCCATTCTAGCTTTCGTTTCAAACCAAATTGCTTAGTTTTCCCAATCTGACCTTCTCGATGTGCGTGCATAAATACATCTTTTAGATATATTATTCGTACTCTTTGTATAACACAATGTACCACAACGCTAAAACACACACACTAACACCATCCATCTGAAGCTATTTTGTTGTGCTGTAGATCTCTATCTTATATCTGTATCTATATCTGTATAATCAACAAATTAATCGTTGACACTTAACCTACACAATTTGTTGTTTTTTAACATTCTTTTTCTTTTTTTTTAGTTTCATTTAGTGAGCATATACTTTAAACACATCCACACCCACACACTATCAAGTTGTTTAATTATATCTCCTCCAAAACAAATGAAATCCGAAAAGAAAAAGCCTTCGAACTCACACAAAACCAAAAGCAAAACCAAAACCAAAAAACATGAACGCAAAGCCCTGGGTATGTTGACAATTGCCATAAGCAGCATTTTTGTGTTGTTTTTGTGTTATTCGTGCGTAATTATACTTTCGATTCTTTATGTCCACGTGAAAAGCTCTGCAAACTGTTATAATGTTTTAAAATTCATGAAACTTCTGTTCAGGCCCATGTTGTCTAGACCTTCGTTCAATCGTTTAGTTGCGGCTGACAAAAAGTAAGTCCTATCTTTCCTTACCTAGTATATTCAACTATATACCTAAATACCTATAAACATATTCAAAATTTGTTTGTATCGTTTTGTGTTTTTTTGGTATGTAAAATATATTTGGTGTGTGTCATCGTGAGACAACAGATCAGAGCAGGTATCTACATTCAATTTGATTTTCCTATTTAATAGTTATATGTGCATAAACAAATACTATCTATCCTAAGTCATTTGGTTATGGTATGGTTGGTACTAATCAACAACAACTACAATAAAACAATATACCCATCCCCAGTAAACTGCCTATATAGCTTATAGAGTTGGCCCTTGGTGGGGAATCTAGATAGGAATTGCTCACGTGTTAGTAACCACACTCGATACATTGTTTCGGGATCGATCTTGATGCTTTTTTGTTTTGTTGTTACCGTAGCGATCTTCCAAAGTCCTTAGTTATATATGTAGCTTCCTTTTCACGACTTCAACTAGTTTTCGAACTAACTAAACGTAATACTCGAGAACTTCATCCTTTATAGAGACGCTCAGGCTTTTGTTAATCCGATGGTAAACCCATACAATTTTAGCTAGCATAAGTAGTCGTTTGACAGTTAAAAGTCCTAGTCGTATCCTTCTTATTTTGTAATGTTCATGGAAAGCAGCATGAGTCACATTGTTCTCCATCCCCCGAGATCTTCGAATACTCCGAACCCAGTGTAGCCTACGTTAGTTAGCACCCAGTACCCTGGAGAGCACCACACGCGACACAATCTAACACTCACCTAGGTTTGAGTACACACCTCTAGTACACACATGTAACACTTGTAACCCAACCATTATACTATATATCTCTGTATGTATAAATACATGTATTAATGTAAAACTATACCGCGTGACTTAACCATAAGCAATGACAAGTGAAAAACTGGCCAAAAAGCAGCGGTTGAATCGGAGTATTCCCCTCACTCCGGCCAGTTTAGCGCAAAATTGATGTTGGACTTTCGGGTCTGGCAAATTAGCCGCACCGCCATCGGGATATCGCCGGTCATATCAATTTCGTTGGCCTGGTTCGATGATCCTGCGGTGTTAGAACGGCGTGCTTCAGACGAAAGTACCTCAATGCAAGACAGACTATCCCAGATTTGGTGGCATTACTCTACTCGTATACGATTCACACACTCCTCGACTAAGCTCGCATCTCTGTACACAGTCGTTATAATCGTACTAGTAGAATACATATTCTCTTTCTCTGGTAATTGTATGGCGAAGACTTGTAAATATTTGATCGACGCATTTCATTTTGTAGAGTTGCTTTACTTACCACTCTTGCTTTACTTTTACTTTCGTCGGGAATGCATATCATTTAACTGATTCTTGTTTAACATCAAACTCTTTAGTGAGCTAAATTTTATATTACAAATTGTATATTTTCAAAACCATTTATTATTGTTTATTTTTAATTAGATCATTTTTGAATATGTGTACAACTATTGTGGCAATAAAAGGCAAAAAAAAAAAATTAATGTAAGAATTTAAAGTCTTTAAGTGTTGGTTTTAATTAGACCTTTTCGATTGCCAATTTGAGGCTGTGTTATGTTTGTTAGTCCAGAGTATTAAAATGAGTCAAATTCAATTGATTTTGCTATCGTTTACGTTTAGTTTTGGCTTGCATTTCCCGTCAGTAGTGAACTTATAGTATTGTTTTCGGTGGTGGTCTTTAAATGAATCAAGATTTTCTCATATTATTTTTTCTGTAAAATTCTATCCATGCAATGCACGCGTTCATTTCAAAAGAGTACAGCTAAAAGGCTACAAGTTTTAATTTACAAGTTAACATTTAATGGGCTTAAGGTGTTTTGCAAGGAGAACTAACTATGAAAACTATGACTTAAAATTGCATATTTAGACCACCGAATCTGTCTGTCTTCGCGCTGGGCGACACGCGAGTAGCTGGACAAATGGCAGTCACTGTAATACTAAAACCCCACACAAAACCGATCCATGAGCGTAAATGTCTGCTGCGTCCAGTCGAAAGCGTGTCACATTAATTTTGCTGAGCGAAGAGTCCCCTGCGTCCGTGCTGCCCCCTTCTATCTATCCATATTAATATAAATAAGTGGTATATGTCTATCTTTGGATTATGTTTTGCATGCCCAGAAGAGTATGCCTTCCGACCACAAAGTACAAGTTCGAATCGGACGCAGGCGATGTGCCGTAGCTTGGTCAGGAGATATACGGCCTGGTCGTCCTGTATATTGTAACTCTGAGGCGAGGGCACATCACAGTTATGGTACTAACTGTTGGACTTTTCGGTCCTTGTCTTGCAATCAATCACTCAATCGTTATATTCACACGCATAACACCCCTACTATAACTTCTGAATCAGACGAACCGCAATCGATCCACACAATCCGGCGGCAGAATCACCAACCACATCGACCACATCGTCCACACCACTCCTCAATGCATCCATCCGTGCAAAGATGGATCTGAAAGAGATTTACTATAACGTTTGGTTACACATTTTGTTCAGTGTTGATTTACTCATTTATCAATATGAAATTAATCAATAATGCTTTGATAGTTGCAATTACTTTGTTTGGGAAAGTATTTCAGGATCGAATAAATTTAAAACTAATAAACGATAGAATTTCTTTTGCCAAAGATCTTTGAAGCTTTCGACCAAAGTTTTTTTTTTGTATTAATTAATCTTTGATTAAATGTAAATGTTAACCGTGTTTATATTTCTCATAAGCTTTAAACATTTTTGTTGCATTTACTTTTAACTAAAGCTTACGGAATTAACTAATCAAATTTTCCTTATCCATTTTTGTTCGTTCCACAAATAATCACACAAATACTTAGCTAATGCCTATATTATATTTAGAGCAAATGCATAAAATCAAAAACCAACAAATTTGCCTATGTTAAATCATTTTTAATGTTGTCATATAAATGAAAAGATGCAAAAGCAAGGAATAAAAAAAAATAATATAGCATTCTTGTACGTAAAATGTTTTTACCAAGCCACAAAGAAAGATAGTATAAAACAGCAAGTTATATAAGCAATTGTTTAAATTCTTTTAAACTATATAAAAAGCAAACAATACTATTAGGAAAACATATATTGCATAAAAGTACTATTTCTAGTTTAATGTTTCGATTGTTCTCTATTCTTTTGAAATTAATTTATTGACATTTTAATAAAACAATTAAAAGTGAATATTATGCGTTTTATTAATAGATTATTTTCAGATTAAAATGAACTATTCATAATAAGTCTGCGACTGTAAGCTATTATTATTAAAAACATTACGCATTAAGATATTCACATCTTGTATGGAATTCCCACAAAACTGATGAATCATTGGGATATCCCCATGTGAGCTGAGGCGGCACTCATTCTATCTTCTACGTCAACTCCCAAAAGCCAACAAATTAAGTACAATTTAATTTGAAATATTTATTTAAATATAGAAGAAGTATGACTCGGACATGGGCTTGTCTAATATCTTTCCATATTTATGGGTCAATCGTGAATACACAGTAGGCCTACTGTGATGGCCACAAATAATGTGGGAGTTGTTTCAGGGGCTTGTCAATCGCGTGGCCGCAGCTGGATATTTTAATGGGTGGATTAGTACATCCATGGCGTGGGAGTTATATTAATAATATTTGTGGGATGGCCACGGAGCGTGCCAAAAACTACTTTAATTCACATCCAATGTGCTAAGCCGTCTGAACGGCTGACTAATTCAAGTTCAGTCGAATTCCAAGAGAGTCTGGAGCGCAGACCGGTCTCCGATAAGTTGACTTGACTGGCGGCTCACTTGACTTTTAGTTTCGTTTCGAGTCTCGACGCTGGCGGTTGTGTGCTGCTGTTTTGGTGATCATAGAAAGGTGTGTTAAGTGCCGACCCGAACTGTTGACATTTGGTAAAGATTTGTCCAGCAAATCATGTAAACATGTAAGCTCGGTGGTCACAAAGCCGAAACCAGGGCCGAACGAAAGATTCAAGACACAAACTTAGAGTCAGCCAGGTGACACGGCTTGCATAACTGAAGCTGGCCAAAAAGTGTGTTTTCGATACTCGCCGCTTTTATGCCTTTAAGCCAACCAAAATTTTTATAAAAAGATATAATACATATGTATCAGCAACAAGGCAAACAAAAAACGCGTTAACTAATGGCAATAAAAAAAGGGTAGATGGAAATTCCCGTCGTCAGTCCATTAAAATCCATTAATAATGATACAACATTTGTAATTACATACGGCTGGCTTCGACACGCCCACCATTAAAAACGGAAAATATATTTTAACATCTGACTTACATACGTAAATAACTTGATAAAAGCGTTCACAAATCGTTCAACAACAAAAATACAATTTATTAGAGGAACAAACGAAGAGATTGGCGGCCAGTCCGAGTGCGCACTTTGATATGCTAATGGTGGAACCGCGAGGCTCAACTTGAAGATGATGATGAGGTCGAGTGTTTCGGACAACGAGGTAGAAAAAATGGAAGATACTTTACAAATGAAGATCGAGCGAGGTGGCAGACAACTTGTAAACAGTTGGTTATGGAGAAAGGCTCGGCTTGAACAGCACTTGAGTAGATCTTTCTCATTGTTTGGTCTACTTGAGCAAAATAAAAAAGCAAAAAAAACATACTTAAAAAGAGTGAAGAAAACATCGGCCAACTTCCTTGACCACGTTCTGATCTTGTTCGTTAGATAATATACCCCAAGACTCGCTTTTAACCAGAAATTATACTTTGTGGTTTGGCAACTGAGTCAAACTTTTGGCCGACCAAAGGCAACTTTCAAATACCGAACTGAGCCAATGAGACACAAAGTGTGAGTCACGGAGCATAAGAAGGCCAAGAAGGCCAAGAGGCTGGTCCAAATGACATAATTTTAGAATTTATGAACTTTATGAGACAATTAAATCTGATGGACAATTAGAGGAAAAAACGTGAATGAAACGTTGCTCGCACTATGAATCAAAGTTTCAGTCCTAATCCTACCCTGTTAAATGTATCATAAGTTGGTTTTTTCTGAGTATCTGATTGCGTTTATGGCTTGGACAAGGCCGTTGCGGCTTAAGGGAAGCTTAAAGAGTGGAGCAGCTCTTATTAATTAATTTTGGTATTTGCAGTGACTTAATTGGAGCCATGCTGCGATTCAGATTAGGCCTGCTGCTGCTGTGGGCGGTTTCTGCCCTGGCGAACGACAATCTTCGCGTGGCCTACGAGTGGCGGGAGATGGACTTCAAGTACGCCAGTGCGGACCAGAGATGGTCGGCCATCGAGCGGGGCGAGTTCAAGCCGGCCAATGTGATACCCTTTGGCCTGGAGGTCGCCGGCCACCGACTCTTTGTCACCCTGCCCAGATGGAGGGACGGAGTGCCGGCCTCGTTGGCCTACCTTGATCTTAATGGTAAGCGCTTGAGTTGCATTGTTGCAGCTGCCACAGTACGTGAATTTGAATATAATTGCCCCATGCAATTGCACTATGTGTGCCAAGAACTGATCTGAGATCTCAAATCTCGAATCTCGGATCTCACAGCTCGGCAATTGTTTTGTTCGCGTCTGATGGCGCTTCTGATCAACTTGACCGTCCAAACAATTCCGTTTCCTTTCGCACTTGTGGCAATTAGCATAGTAAAACCGCTCGCCGGCGTTATTAGCTGTCTGACAACAACAGCATGCCACAAATCGGTGCATACTGGATATATGTGTCATCATCTTCATTTGGTGTTCCGTGAGCGCGGGCACTTGTGCAATAATCACTCACATTTGGCCATAGCAAGTGCACATATGGGATCAAGTTCTTAAAATATCGCCCTTAATATCAGAATATCTGAAACTTTGCTTTTATATTCCTCTTAAATAGTAGCAAAAATAAAGTTACTTTACCTTTTACTGCCTCGAACAAGGCCAGTGGGCAGCTGATACATATAGACACAACTCAATCAGAGCTTATTAGCAAGTTAAGCAGCTTGGAAAAGCATCAGTGCGAATTACTCACCAACAGTCAACAAATACAGCAACATTTTGTGAGCAATCCAATTGGCAATGCAAATGGCCAAATTTAAATAAAAGGCAATGAAATGACTGCTGGCAAGTGAGCTCAATAAACCTTCAAATATAATATATATTATATGTATATCAACATAATATATACATAGATAAATATATCCTGGGCAAAAGTAGTTATATTGCATTTAATTATTCGTTCTATTTTGATCTATTTTATACAGATACATCCAGCAAGGGTCCTGCCTTGAAGCCGTTCCCCAGCTGGCAGGCCCACAATCTTCAGGAGGCCGAACCGGAATTGGTGTCTCCGTTCCGCGTGCGAGCAGATCGATGTGGACGCCTGTGGGTACTGGACTCTAGGATCTCCGGAGTCCTGGAGGACACCAAGATCTATGGAGCAGCCCAGCTGCTGGTCTACGATCTGCATAATGATGATTTGTTGAGACGACACGTTTTGCCAGCCGGCCAGTTGAAGCAGGGATCGCTATTGGCCAATCTGGCTGTGGAGGACTCGGACTGTGAGAACACCTTTGCCTACGCAGCCGATTTGGGCAGTCCCGGCTTGGTGGTTTACTCCTGGCAGGATCAGGAATCGTGGCGTGTGCAGCATCACTTCTTCCACCCCGATCCTATGGCGGGTAACTTCAGCATCAATGGCATTGAGTTTCAATGGGATGACGGTCTATATGGACAGGCCCTATCGAAGCCCCTGGAATCGGGCTACTCCACGTTATATTTCCACCCACTCTGCTCCACTACGGAGTTCTCGGTGGATACAGCGGTACTGCGCAACAAGACCCTGGCCACATCGCCGATGATTTATCGAGAATTCAAGGTGCTGGGCTCCAGAGGACCGAACACTCAGGCTGGAGCCGAGTTCTTGGACCCCGATACCGGTGTCCTCTTCTACGCCCTGCCCAATCTGAACGAAGTCGCCTGCTGGCGCACTGCCACAGACTTTAGCCACAGTTCCCAGAGCCGCGTCTACATGAGCAATGAGACCTTGGTGTTCCCCAGTGACATCAAGGTAGACGATCAGAAACGTCTGTGGGTCCTGTCCAATCAGCTACCCGTCTTCATCTACGATGAACTGTACCCCGGCTCCATTAATTTCCGTATTCTCACTGCCAGTGTTAAGGAGGCCATTGAGAACACAGCCTGTGAAATTAGAACTTCCCCGCTGCCAGATGTTATCAACAAGCTGGGGGATATCCTCAATACTAATATCAAGGTGAGGGCCAATTCGGCTCCCACCCTGGTGAGCCTGAGCTCCCTGATGGTGGTTGGCTTGTGTTTGCTGATGGGCTTTAGCATCTAGATCCCCAGAGCGGTACATAAGTATTTTGCACTGTTAAAGGAAGTATTTTATGTTTTCAAAGATCAGAGAACTCGGAATAATTTGTTGCTTCTAGCATTTTCTCTGATTTCTTAAGCGTAAGAAATATTTTTATTTGAGTGCAATTGTAATCCGTTAAGATGTAGGCTTAAAAAACTTAAACGTTGTACGTGAAGTTGATTAAATGTAAGAAGTGTATTTGAATAGCTTTCTTTATATGTACTTCCCGATTATTGCAATTCCAAGCCAGCTTGGTCATTGACTCAATATTTGGGTTGCGTTTCCTTCTTTTTATAGGCAATGGCTATATCGATGGTCTCATCGCTGGCTTGGGACTGACCATCCTCGGAGTTGGCCGCTAACTTGGCCTTCTCCTTCTGCTGCATCTTCTTAATGAATCCGCCACAGAAAAAGAGGGTCATCTGGAAGTAAACCAAATACCTAATTACGCTGCCACTTTTAGTGGGCACATTGTCTCACATGTTCCAGTATTCCAATCAAGCCCAGGACAGACAAGCCAAGTAGAAATCCAAGGGATCCACCCACATCGGCTATGAATTGTGTGGTGTCATAGCTGGGGCGCTCCTCAATCATCTGGAAATGTTAAAAGGTGCAAGTGAAAGTGAAAGATCGATGCATCCATCATGTTATAACCATACCGATATCAGTTTGGTTGTATAGTATATGTAGATTTGGGTGCGGGGCTCTGGTTGATTGAAGGCCTTGCGGTTCTGAATGAAGGTTGTGTATATTCTCGACCGGCAGGGCTGAATACAGTTGCAGTCAAAGTCATCCTCATTTTCATAAACACTGATAGAGAAAATGGCAAACATAAAATAGAACACTAACTTCTGCCTTACTCTTTATAGTCCGATATCAGTTTCCTCATGGAAAGTGAGTCATTGCAGGGCTCACTTGCAATTTCGTGCATCCAAGGTCCCGAACACTGTATATTATCGGCTAAATCCTGCCAGATGCATTGCTCCCCACACTGAAATGGTTGCTAGTACTTAATTATGGACACATTTTGTTTGTGCGCCTACCTTTAGGTCACTGTAATCCTCATCATCGGAACAGGCCTCCTCTCTGGTCTGGACATTGGAGAAGTATTGGGTTTGAAGTTTGATCTCGATTTCCTCGTTGACACTGACGAAAACATACTCCACTCGACCAGAACCCTTCATATTGATTTCTTGGTAGTAAAAAGTATTAAAGTTTATTATACTATGATTCTTTAGGGCAATCTCACCTGTAAAGTTCTCTTTCTTATCGTGTATAAAGACGTGCCAGCCGACACCACCTGTGTCCACATCGCTGGTGGAAGTGGTCATCATAGAATGGTCCAGCATTATGGAATAGCCTACAGCCTTTGACACTCTCTTGGCGGACTCCTTGGGTCTAAGGGTGTAGCAGCGACCCATGTAAAAGTGCAGACTGCTGTTCATGATTACATCTAAATGCAACAATACATGGCAGTATGCATTTGAAGTACTCTGAACTAATTGGACTTACTGTTTGTGTCCTCGTTTAGTCCGTAAAACACAAAAGTATCGGCCGAGTCATGTGTGCTATTTTCAAAGAACTCATCCAGGGATATTTCCCCAAACGGATATTTCATCCAGCAGGTTGCATATTTCGGATGGGGGCAAGCACCGCCGGAAAGGCGCTTTAAAATATACGTATATGATATATGAAATATATATTATTTGATATAAATTAAGGATTTTCCCTATCCACTAACCGTTAGCACGTCCTCCTTGTAGGGCGGCTCCCGACATATGGTGACCGCGGGCATTTCGATGGTATCGTTCAGGTTGTAGTAGGAATGAGTGGAGATGGGCGGATTGTAGAGCTTGGCGAAGCACTCGTACAGCTGGACAATGACCACAATGCAGCAGGTGAAGAGGACCAGGTAGCGGATGAGCTTGGCTGGATCACGGAAAAGCCAGCTCCGAGTGTCCGACCAGTAACCCATGGCGAGCGGAAAGTGAAACTCAAGTGAGCTGCTCGATGGATATGGGCATACGAGTTTCTGTCATGGCTGAGGGCCAATATCTTTGGCTTCGCAGCATGCTTCAATTCTCACAGTTGGTCAAGATAAGCCTAATATTGATTTACGTGCCGTGGTGGCGATAAAGCCCCATCAGCCCAGCCATCGATGGTGACTATACATGTGGGACATGTGCTGTATTCATCGTTTGCAAAACTCCGTGGCTCCACGGGTAAAGCGTAACATTACCAAAACATGTTGTTTATAATTGTCTACGCCTAGTGCAGATAGCTGCGCCATATCTATCGAACTCGTAGTTGCAGCTAAAATCACTGGGTAACGAATTTATGGTTTTATGTCTGTTTGCTCCTCGTCCAATGGCTGGCGAACCTTATGGGGTTCGATTGTAAGGTTTTCTAATGCTCTTCAGTAAGTCCGTTTCTAATTACCACTTAAATAATATTTAATAAATTTAAAAAAAAATGGTGAATGTGAAATGTATGTGTCTATGCCAGCTACTTAATATTCTGCTGCTTTTCAAGTTTATTTTCCTATACAGATTTATTTCAATTATATTTAAAGATGTTATAGTTATTGTTATGACAGTTTAAATTTTAGAAAGTACAAAAGTATGACAAATAACCAAATCGAAGTCCATCTGAAACCCTTATATAAAGACGCATTCGCGATACCTTAGCCTACCATCAAAGCACCTCGCACGGGCATAGCTTGACCTTATAGACAGCTAAATCTAAATCTATGCAAACACCTAGCCATTAGCGAGCCATGTACAAATATATATGAAGCTATATAAACAGATCGGGATATATAGCCGAAGCTTTTGGGCAAAAACAAACAATGCTTGGTGGATCCAGCCAGATCGAGGAGAAGACATTCCTCAGTTGTGACGTTAAATCAGAGCAGCAGAAACATCGCCCCAAAACGACCCACTGCTATTTATCCAAGCCCCTATGTACAATGTTATGTACATGCTGGGAAAGTAAAACAACAACAGAAACAACAACAACAAAAAAAAAAAAGAAGAACTAATAAACAAAAAGAAACTTGCTACTAAAAATAGACAAATTGAAACATTTCATGAGATGAAACACCAACACAACGTGGACATGGACGTGCTGACGAGCACGCCAAAAAATAAAGAAAAAAGAGTGCTTCTTTACTGATCGGGCGCAGATACAGATACAGATACAGATACAGCTAGAGATACAAATACAGAGGCAGATGCGATCGCATCAGATGTGTGTATCGGCCGTATCTGTGGGATATGTTGACGGACTTCTCGGCCCGCGTACCACACGGCGTATGCGTTCTGCGCCCGTGGATCCGTGGATCCGTATAGTTAGAGCCCAGGACGCGGTCCCTGTGTGTGCCAGCTTGTATCTACATAGTAAATTTTAAATCTTAGATACTCTCGTATACATAGAGAGCTGCAGAGTAGAGAACGTACGCTTGTGTTGAACTTCTTCGCAACTAAATAGCTTTTGCTTTAAATTTAGAACACAGCGGCGGCTATATTAAACGCATATGAAATGTTTTTTAGATTCAGTAGGTATGCTGGCAAGGTATATAGAGAGTCAAACATATATCGGTACAACTAGTACGAGGTCCTACACCCGATATATATTCTATGAAGAACTCTACCTGCCGTTTCACTATCGCATATTATCTGCCCCTAAAACTTTCCAACTTTTTATTTATTTACTCTCTCGAGACGGCCCATATACTTATATACACGTGTTCCTTCTTCATTTTCTGTGGAGTATGAAATATGTTTTAAAAATACACTTTGCTTGTCGCACATAAATTTCTAAAAACAAAATCGAAAAATACTTTTACACTCGGCCTGGTGTACTGACTCATTTCCATGCTGTCCATATGTCTATATGTCTGTAAGTCTGTACACGATTAATCAGACCGCATACACACATAACGCGCAGAGGCGTCCGATGGGGGAAAGTGCCCCCCTCGAGATGGAAAATATTTTCATTTCCCATTTTCACTCATCATTAATAAAAGTCTCGACGCTATATAGACTTCGATTATTGCTATTCGCTGCACTTGAGTTCTATGGTATATAGTCGATTCCTTGGTTGGCTGCTTGGCTGCTTGGGTACTTGGGTGCAGTCGGTTTAATTGGGTGACAAATGCTTACAGAAATAATTTTTAATGCTCCACACATCAGTGACTAATACTAAATGATTCGATTGGATTGCCTAATTAATTAGCGATAGATGGCATCTTCATGCGAGTACGTGTTCATTTATGAGTAGAGAAATCTTCTGCGGATTGGTTTTGCATTATGCCTGTGCGATTTTCAATTGAGCCAAGGCAATTAATCATTTCAGACCACACGGATCCACATCAACACCCAGCTGAGGGCTGGAAAACGTTTTCTGCTTTTCAGATTGCATAAATACCTAAACAAAGTTGTGTACTAGGAAAACAAACATTTTGCGCAGGAGCCACAATCACCAAAATGAAAATAGTTCTACCTTTATGGAAATTATTTGTAAAGTTGTATATTTTTTTATTCGAATTTTGTTAGAATATCTTTTATGTTTTTGCGAATATTTTCGTTATTTTACAACGTTATTTTTCGTGTATGCGATCAATCAAAGAACAATGAAGTGCCAGAAGATCGGCATTTAAGCCACATTGGATACGAGTATGCAGCTTAAGGATTGACAGTTGCAAGTGCTAGTGCCAATTTTCCCGACCACTTGGAAAATAAATTTACGAGACGTTCAATTACCATATATTCGGTAGGACGGCCAGATCCTCTGTTGCATAACCCACACGTAATGCAGGAAGTATTCATTCATTTGTCATGCCATGTGCTACCTGGCAACGGCTGTATGTATGCAAGTGCCTCCCGGTTTTCGCCGCATCTCGCCAACTCGCCAAGTCTTCTGGGAACTGAAGAGAGATCTCTTTGGATTGGATGTGGGCATGGGCGAGGGATCGGTGCACCAGGGATGGGATGCAGATGTCGCCGAAACCACGACGTTGACCGACCGTGGTCGGCGCTCGAGGATTAGGGATAACGGCTTGGGGGCTGGGGGGCTGGGATGTGGGGATGTTGCGGGGAAACAGGCCGACGATGGATATTTTTATATCGACCATTTGGATGGGTTCCAATGCATTTAGACGAGAGTTATCTATAGACTATGCATGTATTTTGGTCACG